TCTTTATTCTTTATATGTAATTTAAAAGCAAGCTTTTCTTTGTAAAAACTTCAATTGAATTTCAATAAAGTTAAAAGTATAGTCTTATCATAAATATTTTTAAAAAAATAATTATAAATTATATTAAATAAAGATATTTTCTATTACTAACTAAATTTATTTAATTTATTTAAACCAAAACTATTAAAAAAGACATCAATTTAATAATAACAAAAACTAAAATACTAAGTAGTTTTAAACAATATTTAACAATTTTTTAACTACTCAAAACATATATATAAAGCATATTTGCTTATTAATTATATTAAAACATACTAATTTTATTTTAAAAAATAAATATTGCTAACTGTTTTTTTGATAATTTATATATTAATCTTTTAAAAAAAGTAATCTAAATTATTTACTTTTTACAAATTTTTTTTTAACAAAAATAGAAGTTAACAAAAGTATAATTTTTTTTAAATTTTTAATGATTTTAATTAGAATTTTTTTTACTATTTTTTAAAATATTTTTTAGTTTAAATACCAAATATATTAAAGAAATTTATCTAAATAAAAAAGTTTAATTCAAAATACAAACTTATTAAAAGTTTTATTCTGTTTTTTAATGTTAACATGTTTTTAAATGTGTTGACAAATAATTTATTTTATATAAAACTAAAAGTAATATCTTCTTAAATCTTTTTATATTGTTTTTTTGTAATTCAGTTTTTTTGATTATTATCTAAAAAAAAAATTGAAAATAATTAAAATTTTTTCTTTATAATTATATATTACTACTAACAAATATAATTTTTTTAATTAATATAAATAACTTGTATAAATATAATTTACCAATAATAAATATTTGTAATTAAACTATCATTTATATAATATTAAATAATAACATATATTTTTAATATTTTAAAATCTTTTTTACCAAGTCCAATATTCAAATTCAAAATATTATAAATTATATATATTAAAAATTTAAAATATAAAAACCAAAACCAAAAGTTTATAATAAACAAATTATTATATTTTTAATATAAAAATAGCTTATTAAGTTTATAAAACCCTTATACAATTCACAATAAGCAACCCTTTATACAAATCATTCATTAATGCAAAGAAAAGAAAATATTACGTACAGATAAAGCAATAATCTCTAACGGTAAAAAAAAAAATTGTAATATTGTGCAAAAGTATAATAAAAATATAAAGTTGCCTAATTTAGTTAAAAGAAAGATTATTGCGCAAAAACGTAACAAGATTTACATAATCTCTACGAATAATGAAGTAACATAATCACATAAATAGATCATGTGATTATAGAGTGCACTGTTGTTTAAGTGCACAATTTTACGTATAAAAACTCTTAACACTAATCTAAATTCAGAACCTTATTAAGAGCATTTTTATATTCTGTTACATGACGTTGTAAAGAACGATTTGATGCTAGTAATAGATAATATTTAAAGAATGATTATTAAATGATTAATGCTTTAGAAGTGACAAATATATTAAAATATATACTACTTACACAATATTGTCAATACTTCTTCAAGTAACTGACGCTTCGACATTCCCTAATAGTAATTTGATATCAAAAAAAAAATCAATATTAACAATTAACTTGAAAAATAACAAACAAGACAATACCATTAAAAATGGATCCCAATTTGATTTTGCACGACTTCCAAAATCTTCTGTACTATAAAATTAAATATATTTAAAAAATAAATTAACTTGAATTTATATAATATATCAAATTAAACTATATTAAATTGTGTACTTGCTTGTTTGTAGGCCCAAGTAAATGAATACATAATTCATGTAATCTATATTCTGCTTCTTCATCAGCTATTTTCTGGGCATATTGGAATAGCAGTTTTTTATACTCTGCAGGAGAATTGACTAATTCAGCAGAAACCAATTGATTTTCCAAATAACCAATCAGATGATTTGGTTGTCCTGGAGTATCATTTCCACTGAATCGTCTCAAATGTGACAATGATCCAAGATTTTTTACACCTCCTTGTCTTGCGTAATTTTCAAGAGAAGCCAATATACCACCACCATCAACCTCACCAACTTCTGACCCGGTTGAGTCTTTTGACGTATATCGTGGATCGTATACACGCGTCCAAACGTGCATGTCAAAATGATAACACCATGCATCGTTTGTACTAAAAACATTAATTAAAAAAAATTCAGAATGAGAATCTAGTATATTAGATTAACTACAACAAAAGTATATTACCTCGTGATTAGTAATGGGATCCCGTTAGATCTAACATGAGCACTTATTATTGACGCAGAGGAACTAAAATCATCAGAATTTAATGATGCAGAAGAAAGGATTGGCGCAATGGATACAGAATGTACGATCGCTTTAAGGTTTCGTAAATCCCTGCATTGCAATCCATGGCACTACACTTTAGCCTTAAGATATTGTGATGGCAGCATAACAAATGATGTAAAAAAATAAATATCATTGACATGAATCATAAGAAAAAAAATCAACATACCAAATGCTAAGTAACCCTACTTGAGTTAAAACCAAAAGGTAATCTTTACATATTTCAAGAAATGAAGCAGATGATTCAAGCATTATCACTGGTAATAACCTGTTTTTGATTTTTTTTTAAAAAACTCTTTAATAATAACAATAATAAAGAAGTTAAAATAAGCAATTCACTAACCGTCGACCGGCAGCAGAGTATATATATATACTACCATCTTCACAAGCAACAGCGGAATATTGAGAATGGCCGGTAATAAGTATCACCCCACTCGGGACATAGTCAAACCATACAGTGGTCTTACCACGAGTGCACATTATTTGAGATGGAGCTAAAACAAAAAGATAAAAAAAAAAATCAATTTCTAGAACTTTGCTTAAAATTGGATCAAAATATAAACTTATTATATATCAAAATTCATACTATTTTCATTAAAATTGTAGCATTCTAATTTTAAAGATGCACCATCGAGACGATCCTTAGCAAGGTAACTCAAAACTTTATGAGTAGCTAACCTTACTTGTGACATTGCAACGGATGGGGAGACTAAAGATGATCTTAAGATACTTGGTTGCTGATCAACTTCTGATTGCATTTTGCCAGATACGTTTTGTCGTTTGCTAGATTGAGTAGTTGTATCTGATGGAGCACTTCGTTTATTCCCAATAACTAGGGTAGGAATTCCACCAGGTGGTAAAACACGAGAAGGAGCGTCCATTTCGTTACCTAATATATCTTCAGTTGTCAATTTTTGATTATTATTATTTAAAGGTATGGGGGTACTTGTAAGGCCATTATTTGATGTGGATGAATCCTAGAGTAAAAGAAAATGGTAAATTATAATTTACTACAAAAAAAAAAAAATTTGATAATTAAAAAGCAGGAGTAAATTTTAAAGTTATTTACAACAACAATTTGTTCAGAAGTTAAAGATATATTCGGTTGTAATTGAGGAGTAGATGAGGTGAGGCTACTAAATGCAGTTGGATTTAATAAGTGTAATTTAAATTTAAAGAAATGCAATGTTGATAAGTTTTACCTTCTCAAAAATTGAGGTTGAATCCTCCTTTTACCGTCTTTTGTCATAGTAACGGTTTGTTGATGTATAGCAGTATTTGTCATTGTGTTAGATGTTGAAGTTGATACTCCATTGGTGTTTGTAGATAGTTCATTATTAATTGGTGTTTCTACCGAAGGTAATGGTTGTGACTGAATATTTGAAGGTCCAAAATCAGTAGTTTTTGAGCCAATGATTAAATTATTGTTTGGTTCAGGAGTACCAATGTCCATATCAACGGTTGTAGAATCCATAGGTGCCATCATATTAGCCATACGATCCGATTTCTCTTTATGTTTGGTAATTGCGTATTCACTTTCTAAATTAAGTTGAGTAGTGCTTTCGAGGATGATCGGTTCTTTCACGGTGAATCCATATTTTGTAAGGAGTTTTTCCTATAGAAATTTTTTTTTTTAAAAAAAAAAGTTAATTGCAATCAATAAACATGAAAGCAAATGTGAAATTAATCAATAAGCGTGAAAGCAAACATGAAATTAAATGTGAAAGTAAATTTGAAATTTGATTAAAACACTTACATGCTCTTCCTCAGACACCCGAGTGCCAAATTCTTTATTAAGAAATTGTAAGACGACCACAGTTCCATCATAAGAACACGCATAAAGTTGTGTACCATCAGGTGACCTTTTATAAAAAAAAAAATCAATAATGTAATTTAAATTTACAGAGTGAATTGACAGTAATACCTTCAATATATTTATTAAAATTATTAATTTTAATATAGTTACCATGCTAAATCCAATACGCTCTGGTCAAAAGGTTTTTGACAAACAAAGAGTGGACGGGCATTTCTCGTTACCCATACGGAAATACTATGGTCTTGACTTCCAACAGCACATACACTACCCATGGTCTCCGAATTGGGGTCAGCGTCATCACTGTCAGGTATCATAAAAAGAACTGGATTAAACGCCTAAGTATAATTTATAATGTTCTGTGAGTACATTAAGACACCAATCATTGGTATATTTACAGCAAAAATGAAACCAATACTAACCACGACTTCGATTGCAGAATCATGTCCCACCAAAGATATATCAGTACGCCATTCTCCTCGATTAAATATAGCAGCAATTGCTACCGCGCCTTGTGCGCCATTCGCTGTAGCGACATGAGAACCATCTGGAGACCAACTTTATATACTATCAATACTTTGTTAAATTTCAATAAATGAAACAAAATAATAGAACCTACCTAAGACGACGGTAAAAAGTAGTCGTAGGAGAGCTTGTATATGGTTCGCTGATTTCAGCTTGCACGGACCAATCAGTGGTTCGCCATATTTTAACTGTTTTATCATCAGACTATAATACATTCTATTAGTAAAATTCGATAATCATGTTAAACCAGTTTAAACAGTTTTAGACAATACCTCAGTTGCAAGATATTCACCCACAGGATCCCATGTAACACCTTTAACAAAACCGAGATGTTGATCTAGTTTATGCAATTTTTCTACACGCAAATCACAATGATAAGTATATATATATATATACAAGGGATACGTGATATAAATTTAACATAATTATTTACCAAAAGTTTTGCCGTCCCATATGAATATCAAACTATCCAAGCCACATGATGCCAAATAGGTATTAGTTCTTGACCAAGCAAGGTCAGCTACGTCTGAAAGATATTTTATATATGATTAATTTCAAATCGAAAAATTGACCAGAATAACGAATCAACAATAATCACCTGATTGATGCCCTGAGAGTCGCCTTATTGGTTTCCAATTCTCAATGTTATGTTCACCACTTCCAAACACGCTTCCTCCCCACCCTTCAGTCGATCTAATTCAAATATACCATATTTGAAAGTAAGTTTATAAATTCGAAATAATTAAAAGTTCATTATATGAATTTAATTAAAATCAAATTGATCAATTTACTTATCCCATTCCCATATCAGAACAAGTTGATCATCTGAACCTGAGGCCAGATATCGGCCGTCTTTGTTTGACCATCTAACACAAAGTACAGAACCTAAAAACATACATTAAAAATAAAAATTAAATAAATTACAGAAACAATTGGGGTTTTTACCTTGAAAATTAACATATGTAACATAGTAATTATTATGTCCCGTAAGACATTTTCAAGACAAAGACTCTAATTAATTGTGAAAAATTAGTAAGTATGTAGAGAGCGAATACGAACCATTATGAAGACCTAAAGTGCAAAGTAAACGCGGTACGCTAGAATCATTGGCTTTATCTACGTCTATTAGGCTGGCAGTACTCCATAATTTTATTTTGTTATCTACAAAAGTTGATCAAAGCATTTAGATCAAAATTTTGTCTTGAAAAAAAAAACTTTAACAAAAGAGGTTGATCGGCGAACAAGTTTAAGCGATCGGTTATAACTCAGGCTGAAACACGTACCAAGACCTCCAGTTGCTAAACGAGATCCGTCAGGGTGAACATGGACCGAAAAGATAGCAGTTCTTTGATTTTTATCGTCTTTTATAAAGAAGAAAGAATAGAATTTAATGGAATGAATAAATAAAAATGTACAAGAATAAAGACTCTCACCAAAGTGCCCGAGCCAACTTGGTTTTGCCAGATGCATTTTTATGATTTATTAAAGTGGAAACGTGATAAAGAGTTCCAAAAAGAACATAAACGCGGCACGATTTCTTAGTACACAGATACAAGATTTACGTGTCACCGATTTTTGATTTTTTTTTACTAAAATAACTTTATCAGTAATTATGCAATTCCAATAATAAAAATCCATATATATTTATAACCTACGTATATATATTTTTAACTTATTTAATACTCATTCGTACAAAACCAAAAATGACAGTCTTTTGGTTTTTGCACACCAGAAATGCGTATAAAAAAAAATTCTTATTTAAAGTATATAACTGTAGCAAGAAATAATAAAATCGAAAAAAAATAAGATTTTTTTTATTCCAACATTTTATTTAGTTGAAAAGACAAATAACTTTTTTATATAAAAACCATTTTTAATAAATAAAAAGTATGTCAGAACATAGAACTCAGTCAGTTTATTCTTATCCTTCACCCTCAACAAATCCTTCACCAAGAACAGATATATCACTAAGAGAAATTTTAGATACATATCGTGATAATAATGATCTATTGAAACAAATTCTTGCAGCTAAAGCAGAAGAAGATAAGGTAACACTATATAAGCTATTAGAATTTAAAGGACCAAACGAACCTGTTTCTTTTCAACGGCTTCTGGTTCTACTGTGTCAGATACACCTTGTTCAGTTCTCTCACCAGAACAGACTCGTAATGTATTTGTCATAAATGACCGACGATTAAGAATACAGAACAGTTCATAATAACTAATTCTCAAGGACATTTATTCTTAAACAGAGACGAGCAGAAGAAGAAAAGTATAAAACAGAAGCTGTACGTTTACAATGTAAGCAAGTGGAATTAGAGATGTTAAAAGAGCAAAAGAAACCACCGACTATTATCACTGGAGTACCACGTATGTGGAATTTATTTAGTTAATTTATTATACAATTATTTGTACAACTATTAAAAAATCAACTAATGTACCATTGTGATTTATACTCACATTAGCGATGAATTCATCAAGTAGTTTTAACATGTATGTGAAAAAAATTATTTATGAAATTTATGAAAATTTGAAAAATGAGTAATAATGTAATTCATAACTAATCTGTATCTATATAAATAAAAAAAAGGAAATCACCTTCAGATATCAGTAGCCCATACCTTCCGATACCACCACCAAACGGTTTGTATAATATTTCCTTTATATATATTTTTTTTTCATGTATTTTATTCATTTCATTCATTCTGTTCATTCTGTTCATTCTAGATACACATTTTCCTGCCACTGCCACTACTCCAACAAGTGCGACACGCTTATCACCACCATCATCATCTAGTCATGGAAATGATAATGTATCTTATAATCATAATGGGATATCTTCGCATAACCATTCTTATAATCCATTGAGTCAAAGGCCTTCATTGACATTATCCATTCCTTCGTTCCCAATTATAACGGCATCACCAACCACAATGCACAATCCGCATCCATTTTCCACTCCCACAAGTAGTGTTCAAGAACATCCACCTTCAGCATCATCCCAAACAAACAATTATTCACAAAGTCCTACTACAGGTGGTAAGCGATCCAAACCTTCTTCAGAATCAGAAGTTGATCATGAATACGTTATGGAAGCACTCAGGCAGAAGGTGCAAAGGAATCAGGAAAATCCGGCAAAAAAGTATATGACAGTTTTTAAACCTAGAAGTTCAAGTACACCCTCACTTCAACACAACTCGACATCAAATCATCAGCATCACCACCATCATTATAATCGAGATCAACAGAAACAACAGCACCAACATCAACGTCATCAGTCACAGCAACAAACATCACCTGTTGATCCTTCTCCAATGGCTCGATCCCCTATTCATTCCTTACCTCCAATGAATGTACATTCACCTGGAATGAATCAAGAACAAGTTACTAAGAGTTGAATAGTTGAATAAGTGCTACAGTTTAAAGAACACACGTGATTCAGGTTCTTACATTTTACATTAGTAAAGAAAGTATATTATTAGTCAGTTTATAGGATTATTTTTTCTTGGCAGGGACAAGAATAGTAATCTTTGGTAGTATATTGTGTAATTTGAAATTTAAAACTTTTAAGAATATCATGTATTATATTATTATTTTGTGTAAAGTGTTAGGGCAACCTATTGCCATTTTCAAATTATAAACAAACGTATTTACATTTTTTAACTATTTTTAAACGAAATGTTTATTTTCAATCTTTAGTGTATACCCTATTGTAATCATTTATCCTCCGAATTAATAAACCGAATTAATAAACCTAGAGGTAATAAATATATAACTGGTTTTATCTGAAGCACGTTGATCCGTCTCTATCTTCAATTATGTAACAAATACTACTTACGTGCTAATGCCGTGTATGTGTATGTGTATGTGTAATTGCGTTATCTGTTATGTATGTATGTACGTACGTACATGTGAGAAGTCGCAAGTACGATGTACTGTACGTACGTACGTACATACATACATGTTAGAAATTCCTCCCGATGATTTTAAATTCAAATAAATATAGATTTATGCTCAGATGTATTAATATATACATTTTAAAATATACTTTAAATATATTTTTAATCATACTTTAAAATATTAACCTTATATTAACATTAATTTGATCTAAAATAAGTTTTTATGTACATACATACATACATACGTATATGTAAAGATAATGAAATTCTATTTTAACTATCTCCAGTACAGCAGTATGTATTAATGTTAAGTACTAAAATTATTACGTAATTTTAGTCGTGTGACTAACCCAACAACGAATAGCTTATTTTAAACCTGACGAAAATAGAATTATAAATTTTCTTATTCTATTAATGTATATATAATTTTAAAATAGATATTTTTTTCCTAAAATATATTAATCTATAATAACTTGTACTAAAAAAAAGTATTTATCCTTTTTTTTGTTAAACCTGACTTTTTTATACATATCAGATATACGTATTATAATATATATAATACACATTTATATGATCTATTTTCTTAAATAATTTGCTACAAAATTTGTAATAAGTTATTTATATTAAAACAAACATTATGTGTATCGATATTATTACAAATAATTAAATTCTACGTACTTATATTTATATATTTAAATTAAAATAACTTGCCACAGCATCGTATGTATGTACGTACGTACGTACGTTTAACAGTTTGACATAAAGATCGTGATTTAAAACCAATCAGCCATGTAACGTGAAAACAAGGTTCATTCAGAAAATCAAAATATAAATACACTTAGGGAGGGTTGACTGTACCTTTCTTGACGTTGCTCCAACATCCATACTAATCTTAACACTTAAAATATTTCCGGAAACTAAAAAACATTGGTGGTTTATAGACTAACCTAATTGGCTAAAAAAAGATCAACCATGCAATGCATAATGAAAAATGGTTACGTAGTAACAATGCATAATGAAAAATGTTTAGTGAGTTTGTCATTAAACTTTTTGCCCTAAACCAGCTTTTTTCTGCACTAGCATTTCAAAACATCATAGCCACTAGAGTAAATAAAGTTTTTGTTCGAGCATTTCATACTCTTCAGGATGGATATTCAATACCGACATTAATGCACAATTACACAGAATCAATAAAAAGCAATCTTAATAACATTATTATCTGTACTATATTAAAAAGCATATTTTTTATATAATACTATATATATATATTTACAAGTTTATATAAGATCTTTGCAAAAGAAATGAATTAATTTTATTTAATTTTTCAAAGATATTGAATTTTTTTGAAAAAAATTTTTGGCTTATCTTTTTCTTTTACTATAAGGGGTTCTAAATTTTTTTTTTTATTTTAATTATAAAATTATATAAAAATAAAATAAAAATATTATAATGAAGTGGTCATATTATCAACCTTCAAGTGGCAAGTCTAGAGTTCAAATCTTAGTAACAGTAAAAATTTGCAATTCTTTCTGTGTTATGGTTAACTGTTTTCTATAATTGGTTGGAATTAGATATTATTAATTTACCTTCAAAATATTATTTGCTTATAATTATAATTTATCATTGTTAGACAAATTTTAATAAAAAAAATTGAATTGAACAACTGTTCAATATATACCAAGTTATACTAATTTATTTTTTCATTATTTTCATAGCTACTAAGCACAATATTTGAAAACATAAAACTTTTATAAAAACTAGCAATAGCATGAATTATGTCTGTAATTTCTAATAAAGCTGAAGAAATACCTGCATATAATTAAAATTGTTAAGAGATGAAATTGGTTTCTCTTTAAAAAATTTATTAAGACCAGTTAAAAGGTTTTGAAACCTCTCAATTTGTAATAGGTCCAGATTATTTTTGTTGTTTTCAAGAAAATCATCTAACTCATCTAAATTTAAAATTCATATAAGGTTTCCAAATTCTTTTATTTAGTAATATTTTTTTTTAGCTTTTTTTTTAGTTAACTTCTGCTGTATAACCTAATATAATAATTATTCATAGTTAAAATTATATTTTAACCAAATAATATATTGTAATATATGACAAAATAATAACTTAATTACTAGATAATATATGTATTTAAATATATTTACTAGTAAATATGTTTAAATATATATATTATCTAGTAATTAAGTTATTACTTTGCTATATATTACAATATATTATTTAGTTAAAATATAATTTAACTAGTGCATAACAATAGATAACAATTAGTTACTAGATTTATAAACATCTATCCTTAATATTTGTTTTATATAGTCTTTTTTGTTTGACATATAATAGGGTCTTTTTATATAATTCTTATAAAGAGTTTCATAACTTTTTGTATTTATACTATTTATTGATCTATATTCTTAAATTGCAAGTATTATATAATAGCACTAAACATGAAACTTAGATAATTGAAGACTGCTTCAAGAATATTCTAAAAATATTTTAATAAAATCTTTTGTCCAATCTATAATAAAAGCCTATAATTCTATATTTTAAAATATTGATATAAAAATTTTATTAACATTATATAAGGAATAGTAGTATTATCAAGAAATTTTTTTTCAGCTTTTGTTGATAATGAAAATAGCAAAATATTCAAATTTGAGAATTTGTTAAAGAGCTTTATAATAGCATCACCTACTGAATTTAAAAGTTGATATATATTAATTAATTTCATAGATATATAATATGCATTATTCTCTATCTGCTGAATTTAAAAGTTGATATATATTAATTATTTTTATAAATTCATAATATGCATTGTTAGGTCACTCAATGGTTTGTGAATGATGTAAGTCATTAAAAGCATCATTAAATGAAGCCTCTTTATAGTCATCAAGATTACTTTTTAAAGCTTCAGATAAAACATCATCCATTAGAACATCTATATGATCACTTTTATTAAACATATTTTGAAGTATTTCATCTTCTATAAAAAGAGACATATTATTTGTTGAAAGTGATTCTGTTTTCATAAAAGAAAAGTCATTCAAACTTGATTTAGATTGAGTTGAAATTAAAATATTTTTATTCTAAACAAAGACAATTGTTATATATCAATTACATCTAAATTAGTAATCTAACTACATTCTTCAAAATCTGTAAAAGAATCATAATAACTAGAACTATATTTTGGAACATTCCAAACATTATATAACTGCTCATTCAAAACAGTTTGACTTGTGGAAGCTTAGTTATAAGAGTGTTTTTGTAAGACATATTGTAATAAAGTGAATGACTTTGAAAATTCTTATTTACAATGCCCACATTTCTAACACATTTTATATAAAATAAAGAAAACAAAAAAAAGATATTAGTAGAAAGTGATAAAGTAAAAATAATATATTAAGAGAAAGTTTAATGTATATTATAGTAATATAAAGAAGTTTAAAGAAAATAAATATAACTAATAAATAATAAAATTGTTATACATTAATATAAATCGATATTAATCAATTTTTTTATATAAATAACAAAACATAACAGTTAATTAAATAATGCATAAAAATAAACTTTATATTATGTTGTTAATAATATTTTAAATTTAAAAATCTCAGCAAGAAATCATATATATATATGTGTTAAATCTCAGTAATTGTTATAACAAATGCAATAACAAAAATACAAATGAAATAAGTATACTTTTTTTATTAATTTTCATACAACAATTAACATCATTAGATATTATTTTTATTACTAATTATTTAAAACTTTTTTTTAGATATATAAATCTAATTGCTTTAATGCCTAAAGATAACTTTTTAAAAATTTTGAAAATGAAAAATAACTCTAATAACAATCTACCATCTTCTTATCTGACTGTCATTACCAATACAACCTATTCTCATTATAATTCAAATAATATTGCTGGTCCTTATCAACTATCTCAATTATCTTATAATGATAACTCTAATTTTAACAAATTCACTAGATTTATAAGAAGTGCATAAATATTTTTTCTGTAATGAGTAATAGAAATAGGCAACATCAATTATTCCTTCCAATCTAATAAAGACAGTTTAGACAATTTACTTAACAAACTTCTTCCAGGCAACTATTACCTTCTAGACAATCTGTTCAACAAACTTATTCTAAACAACTATTGCTTTCTTAACCTACCTCACATTGTGCATTGCAATTGTTATTACTATAGCTGCAGCAAACATATAGAAGATTAGCATTGCCTAATCATTGATCTTTCAATCAAAATTATTTACATAATTATAATAGTATTGTTAGAGAAGTTTTGGATTTATGGAATACAGAGTCAAGAAAAATGTAACAGATTATTGCTCGAAAATACCAAACATCATGAAATATTGCATCACAGAAGAGGCAGAATAATTTGGCAAGGCTAAGGCATAAGTGCAAGGTCTCAGTTTATTACTAAAATGGTTTTTATTACTAATATAGCTATTACTAATGATGACTATTCTAAGTT